GAAGGTGTGATGGTGGGGGAATGAGTGGTGGCTTGCTGTCTGCATACAGTACAAACCACAAGCCCACTGTTGGCGTTGCCGCTTTTCTCACTGCCTAGTATACTGTGTAGTGTGAGTTTTATTGAAGGGTACATAAAAGAAAATCATACAAATAAACATGTTCTGAAGAATATATTCATCAATACAGTCTAGTTTAAATCTCCACATAGTTGATAATTTTGCTTTTTATGGGCACGTCTTTTCATTGAACTATTTCTGTATAATCTTACTGTTTTTTAAATGTTAATTTATTCTTCAAATCTTTTCTTCCTTTCACCCCAGAATTTTTTCAGATATGTGTATTTTTACCAATGTGACTCTCAGGTTGTCTCTAGTTTGTCAGAGGCTGAAGTGCTGTATTTTCTTAACTAGATGTGATAAATGAGATGTGACAATATATGGGGCCTAAGGATATTTCTGAGTAATATTTTTGTTTGTTTTAACTTTTTTTTTTTTTTTTTGAGACGGAGTTTTGCTGTTGTTACCCAGGCTGGAGTGCAATGGCATGATCTTGGCTCACTGCAACCTCCGCCTTCTGGGTTCAAGCAATTCTCCTGCCTCAGCCTCCTGAGTAGCTGTGATTACAGGCGTGCACCACCATGCCCAGCTAATTTTTTTGTATTTTTAGTAGAGACGGGGTTTCATCTTGTTGACCGGGATGGTCTCGATCTCTTGACCTTGTGATCCACCCACCTCGGCCTCCCAAAGTGCTGGGATTACAGGCGTGAGCCACCGTGCCTGGCCTGGTTTCACATGTTTTATTCGGCTTAACTAGAATATAGAATGTAAAACAATCTTAATACGACTTCTTCATTGTTCTTAATTTGGTGCTGCTTATTAGAACTCCTCCAAGATTTCCTATAATTATTACATTAAAAGCCTCCATTATCAATTGAAATGCATCTTTTGTAACTAATTTATTTTTTATTTTTTATTTTATTTTACCTTTTAAAAGGAATGAATGCATTAACGTGGCCAAGAAAATGTAAAGATTTTAGGAAGATGGCTGGGCGTGGTGGCTCACGCCTGTAATCCCAGCACTTTGGGAGGCTGAGGCGGGTGGATCACGAGGTCAAGAGATCGAGACCATCCTGGTCAACATGGTGAAACCCCGTCTCTACTAAAAATACAAAAAATTAGCTGGGCATGGTGGCGCGTGCCTGTAATCCCAGCTACTCAGGAGGCTGAGGCAGGAGAATTGCTGGAACCCAGGAGGTGGAGGTTGCCGTGAGCCGAGATCGCGTCATTGCACTCCAGCCTGGGTAACAAGAGCGAAACTCTGTCTCAAAAAAAAAAAAAAAAAAAAAGATTTTAGGAAGACTTATTGTTCTTCTTTTTTCTTAGAGAGACCTAATCTCAAAGTCACTTTATTCATAATTGGATTGAAATAAATTTAGTCTAATATTTACTCTTTTAAAGAATATGTAGGCAGGGCATGGTGGCTCACACTTCTAATCCCAGCTCTTTTGGAGGCCGAGATGGGTGGATCACGGGGTCAGGAGTTTAACTCCAGCCTGACCAACATGGTGAAACCCCGTGTGTACTAAAAATACAAAAATTAGCCGGGTGTGGTGGTGCACACCTGTAATCCCAGCTACTCAGGAGACTGAAGCAGGAGAATTGCTTGAACCTGGCAGGTGGAGATTGTAGTGATCTAAGATCGCACCACTGCACTCCAGCCTGGGCAACAATAAGAGACTCACAAAAAAAAAAAAAAAAAAAAAAAAAAATATGTAATCATTACTAGTTTTATTTCTTTCCCCCAATCCTTTTAACGTTACAAAGAAATAACAGTGCATTTTAACATTGATAGGTGCCATAATTTTGGATTTTATTTTATTGTAGCATTTACATTAATTATGAATCTGGGCTTTAAAAAAGCCACACATAGGTTAGGAACAGTGGCTCATGCCTGTAATTCCAGCATTTCAGGAGGCTGAGGTAGGAGGATCATTTCAGCCCAGGTTCAGCACCAGCCTGGGCAACATAGCAAGACCTTGTCACTACAAAAGAAAAATTTTAAAGGTATCAGATTATTTTGGAGCTTTAAGATTTAGTGACTGCCCTGCTGGGTTCCAAAGTTGCATGAGTTCTGTAGCCCCTTTCTTTTTGCTGATTTCTCCAATTAGACCTCTCTTCTTATAAAATAAAAAAGTAAATATGTAAATAAAATAAAAATTAACTGAGCATGATGGCACATGCCTGTGGTTCCAGCTGCTTGGGAGGCTGAGGAAGGAGGATTGATGAGCTCAAGAATTCAAGGTTACAGTGAGCTCTAACAATACCACTGCACTCCAGCCTGGGTGACAGAGTGATGCTTTGTTTCAACAACAACAGCAAAAGCCACACGTAGCCTCCTCTGTATCCAGTTGCAAGTGAAAGTTCTTAAAATCTTCAAACAATGTAATAGTTTTAATTTCTTCCATAGTAACAGTTCAGTGTTTCAAGATTTTCAGGTTGTATCTGTTTTTGTGCAGTGGTTCTCAAACTTGAAGGTGCATCAGAATAACTGATTGCTGAGGTTGCTCATTTAGTAGGGCTGGGTGGGACTCAGTTGCATTCTGTGTTACTGATGCTGCTGGTCTGTGGCCATATTTCAAGAATAACTGTTATCATATTTGATTCTTACAAGAACCCAGCGAGATCTTGGACAGAAACAGATAAGGAAAATGAGGCTGGAAGACACTAAGAGTTTTTTCCAGCCACACATGATTAATTAATGGTTGAACAGGTACCGGAACCCCTGAAGACCTTTCCGGTTTTCTCCTTTCATGGCAAGAGTTTAGTTCCCAGAAGACATCTCTCTGATTTCAAGTATGTTTGATATTTTTGTCTTACTCTTTTCAGAGCTATTCATGTATTTGGATGCACACCCCTTAGTATTCACATTTATTTATAATATATGCTTAAAGTTGCCTTTCAGTTGCGTGACTGATTTTTGTGCCTAGAGGTGTTCTGAAAATGCAGTGTCTTTCTGTAGAAACAACAACCTTATATAACTTGTTACGGCCACCCAAGGTCAATCATGAGAAAAATATTGACTTTTTTACCCACAAGCCTAGTCCTCTGGCATTTTTTCATTCTAACTTGTGGTGATGGTTCTAGGCAGGACTGTTATTTGTGGGTCCAACAAATGAGGAATGATCCAAGACAAGGAATCCCAAAACCGCATCACCAGACCCTAGCAAATAGGCTCTGTACCGATTTCAAGGATATTTTTGTATTTTGCTGCTTCCGTGGAGAACTGATAGTTGGTCTTTAGTTGGTACCAAACCATTTAAACTCCTGTTTGTAAAACAGTGACATACAGAATGAACTGTGAGGTGCGTTTTCTCTGTCTTCCCCCTCAGTTTCTCTCTGAACTACCTTAGAGTATTCAGTATGTGGGGTGTGTGGAATAGTCTGGAACCCGGTGTCAGCCAGTCATCACTGTTCACCTATTGAATGTTGCATGAGAAGCTTTGCTAACGTAGAGAGGAGATGCTGTGTGTGTTGCTGATGCTGGCTTTTCTAGTTCCTACTTTCCATTTTCTCTTGCTTTCCTTCTGCTCTGCTTTGATTTTGGTCCCTTGAAATAAATACCTTAATCCAAAATAGAAGTAGGGAAGAAAAAATAATAGCTGGAGAACAAGTTGAAAATCTTGACCTCGACTGTCTTCTATTATTTAGTATAATTGTTGGCTTTTTGTGTGGGGGTTGGGGAATGGGACAAAGAAATCATCATATTTTTTGAATTTAGTCTAATTGAGTAATAATTTAAATCAATGTGCTTCAGTGACTGCCCACTTCCCATGCCTTTTAATGCTTAAATAAAACTCACAGTATACAGTACAGTCTGTGTGTGGTGCTTTACATGTACTAAAAACAGTTATAAAATCCTGTTAAGTGTTATTATTTTGAGGAAACAGAGTGAGAGAGATTGTGTAATATGGCCAAGATCTGACACTTAGTGCGCGAGTGACTTGGATCTTAAATACTAGTCTTTTGGACTTCTGCATTTAAGAACTAGTCTCTGTTACCTTTCCTTTGAGCTCCTTACTCAGAGCGGAGTTGCAATAAGGATTTCTCAAAATAAATAAATAAATTAGACTCTACAAAAACAAAATACTGACTTTAAACTTCTCTCCATATTTTTCCTTGTTTGTTACCGTACCAATCCCTTTAAACATTTTCTTGAAAAGAGAAATTCACATGTTGCTTTTAGAGACACATGTCTCCTAGCACATACAACGGACGGTATTTTGCCTTTGCTGTCCCTGGGAGTTTTTATTTTAGTTATTTGAGCTTTAAAAGCGGCATATGATGGAGTTTGAATTTGTCATAAAACCGCAGAGTGCTACCATGATATGTACATTAGTGAACTATAGAGTCTCTTTTTCTTTATTTTGCCCTTGGAGACATATGACAGCTTTCAGAAAAAAGACAGCCACCCTAAGTGACTCATATCACCCATTTGTAGGGAGATAGGTTGAAAGTTTCTCCCAGAGTTTATCCATGTAAAATCACTTCTTTAGCCTTTCCTATGTCTTTAAAACCTTTTCATCTTTCCTATATGTCTGTTTTTGTTATAGGAGTATATATCTTAATAAATTTAATGGAGTATTCAGTCTTAGAAGCAGTTAATATTAACGGTACAATAAAAGCAAACATACATTTATCCAGTCAGTCGTGGCCCCATTATGGGATAACTGTTACTGATGCTTGCATTGTTCCCTTGGTAGCTGAGTAGCTTTGAGAAACGTCATTCCTGCCGGTCTTAGCTTCCTTAGCTCTAAAAAGGTGATGCTAACTTCTCTTCAGATATTTGTAAGAGTTGGATGAAATAGTTTGCATTGTAGCTGAAAGCACCTCTGTGCAGTGGGGTGTGAGGGAGGACATGACAGAGAGGTAACTTTCTAAGAACTTAGAAATAAGTTTGCCTTTTTGAAAACAGTATAAAATCAAAACACAATGGCTAGTGCATGCTGCAGCAGAACATATACTAAAAAATCAGAATGAGACAGAGAAGATGAGTATGGCCCCTGCACAAGGGTGACATGCAAATTTGTGAAACTTTATATTTTTAATATAATAAAATTTAAAAAAAACACAATGGCTAAATAAACATACAGATCTCTCTCTCTTATTTTTTTTTTTTTTTGAGGCAGGGTCTTGCTCTGTCACCCAGGCTGGAGTGCAGTGGCGTGACCTTAGCTTACTACAGCTCTTGCCCTCAGGCTCTAGTGATCCTCCCCGCCAGCCTCCCGAGTAGCTGGGACCGCAAGTGTGTGCCACCATGCCCAGCTCCTTTTTGTGTGTTTTTTTTAGACAGAGTCTTGCTCTGTTGCCAGGCTGGAATGCAGTGGCGCCTCCCCCTCCTGGGTTCAAGCTATCCTCCTGCCTCAGCCTCCCGAGTAACTGGATTACAGACCCGCGCTACCATGCCCAGCTAATTTTTGTATTTTAGTAGAGATGGGGTTTCACCGTGTTGGCCAGGATGGTCTTGATCTCCTGGCCTCGTGATCTGCTTGGCCTCCCAAAGTGCTGGGATTATAGGCTTGAGCCACTGTGCCTGGCCTTTTTTTGTGTTCTTAGTAGAGATGGGGTCTTACCCTGTTGCCCAGGCTGGTCTCAAACTCCTGAGTTCAAGCAATTCACCCACCTTGGCCTCCCAAGTGCTGGGATTACAGGCGTGAGCCACCACACCTGACCCAGACCTCTTAAAGAAACACATTATGGGCAGGCCTATAATTGAGCTCTTAAGATAGATACTTTTTTTTAAAAAAAAAATGATATGTCAACCAGAAATATTATTGACTTATGGCACTGTTAAAAAGCAAACTTATTACAGAGTTTCTGTTTGGGATGACAAAAACCTTTTGGAAATAGTGGTAAGGGTTACACAACATTTTGAACTTAATGCCATTGAAGTGTACACTTAAAATGGTTGAAGTGAACATTTTATGTTGTATAAAAATATTTTTTAAAAAGTACAGTGAATAGTCCAGAGTCCACCCTGGAGGCTATAAACTCTACAAGCTCAGGATTCTGATCTCTCATGTCCATGGCTATGATTCTAGCTATGGACCAGAACATGTTGGATGAATGAAGAATCCGATGTGCTTTATGGTGTATGCAGCTCATTGCTGCTGCTGTGGTGCCGGATGAAACGACATTCTGATTATGGTCTGACTCCTGTCAGACGAGGGGTGTCTGTCCTTTCACCATGTTTTATTGTAAATTAATAAATCCATATTTATTATACATTCTTAACTTTCCCAAAACAAGTTGAAGTTTTACAACTTGACTCCAAGAGGTGTGCTAGTTACTTTTTTTTTTAATCATGACTGCCCTCAGTACATGTGAGGAATGTGAGCCACAAAGACTATTGATATGACAATGAAAAAGCTGTTCTTAGGGGGACTCACTAGCAAGATTTCCATCAATAGGTGCTCACATGAACTAATGCTTAAAAATGGTGTTCTTGTACTTTGCACTGTCATTATCTCCAAGGAATGGGTTTCATTATTGTGGGGTTATTTGTTTGCTTGTTTAATTCATAGTGTTCTATTCAAACAATGACTTGTTAATCATGTTTTTTCAAAGAAGATGAAAAAAAATTTAGTGGTCTCTTTAGGGCTGCAGTCTTGCTTAAAAATGAACTGAATCTGGAAATATTTTAATTAAGAAATTTAAAAGTTTCAAAGCTTGTAGTTTTAAGATGTGCTTGTTTTTTTCACAGTTTTTAAAAAGCAAACTTAATGCCATAACTTGGGTCTTTTTCTCAGGCCTTTCAGGAAGTTAGCAATGAAACAAGAATTCTCAATTCTGTTTGTTAAACTCACCCACCATGCTGTTCTCTAGTTTGAAAGTACTTGCACATGGTAAGAGACTGAGGAAAAGTTGTGGAGTTACTGAAAGATCCTTCAGCTACATGCCTTACTGTTGTGTCTTCTGAATGTTTTCTGCAGTGATCTTTGTGAGCATTTCAAAAGAAAAGAGTTGTGCCAAATTAATTTTAAAAATTATTTCTTGCTTTCTTTCTCTTCATGTTGATGTCTTATGTTTCTTTGCCTGGGAACAGTACATAAAACAATACCTTATTTTTTTCCCGCTTGCTTTTGAGTCCTCATTAGATGCCTTTTCCACTCTTCCTTCTCGTCTGTTTCTCTGTTCTTAAATGCAGACCTTCTGACTGGAGCTGTGGAGCTGGGGTCAGAGTTGAAGTCAATCAGCATGTCACCTGGTTGTTTAGCACATCACACCCATTTTGTATGTTTGTGTAGCAGACCATTTCTTCTCTTGTGTTTCCTCATTTTACATGTAATCTCTTCAACGAGTCACAATGAAAAATTGTTCCATTAGACCTTTTGCGTGTTGACTCTAAGGGGCTTCAGAAACTCTCCTGTGAGGTGCATATGCCTGTGATGAGGAAAGAGTGAGACTTGGAAGGGGAAGACCGGATTTGAACTGCAGCCTGTACCACTGCTTGGCTGAGAAACTGCTGTTGTGAACCTTTTGCCATCATGGGATTATTTAAGTATTCAGAGGGATCATTTTGAGAGGAGAAGCACTGTAAGCATTGAGAGTGGTAGACTCTCATACGTACAGTTTTCATTGTCTTTTAGTTTTGGGGCTCATAGGAAATGAACTTGGGTCTTTTTCTGAGGACTTTCAGAAAGTTAGCAATGAAACAAGAATGATAAATTCTGTTTTTTAAATTCACCCATCATGCTGTTCTCCAGTTTGAGAGTACTTGTACATGATAAGAGACTGTGAGGAAAAGTTGTGAAAGACTTTGAAATGATTTTTTTTTTTTAAAGCATGCTCTGTCTAGCTCAACCATCCAGGTTAGCTCTGCCTTTCGTTGTGTTTGAGCTGTACTAGAATTGTGTGCATTGTAGAAAATAGACAGTAAAACACATTATTCTTGTCCATAACATGCCAATTGTGTTTGGAGGATGCATTAGATTATTGTCCTATGCATATTGACTAGTTTTGCAAATTTTACATCTTGCTGGCATTTCTGTTTATTTGTTTCTTCTTTGAATTCTTTTGAAATTAGATTTGGCCTCTTACTGGTTCCCTAATTAGTGAGTTAAAATTTTATATATGTTTATTAATTTTGAGAATTATTATTTTACTTTACAGAAAATTATTACTTAACAATACAGTAAAAAAACACAACTCTGGAAATTAAGGGAACTACTTATGTTACTTTGAGCAAGGTACTGAACTATTTAAAAAAAATAGTGAGGTCGACCAAGACAAACCTCTAGTCTGTGATTCTATGATTTTATGATTCTGTGATTCCACAATGTAATATTCTCTAAGCCCAAGGTCCACTGTCCTAAGTTTGTTAATATATAGGTGAATTGGTATAGAATCAAGGAACTAAAGTATCTCATGTATATAAAAATTGCATAAGTGCTTTTTGGTCTTTTTACCACACATGTGCACATAAATTATCATCATACAAGATACTTTGTTTGTTGTTTGTAATTCTTAAAAATAAATTATCAACCTGGTGAAACCCCATCTCTACTGAAAATACAAAAATTAGCCGGGCTTGGTGGCAGATGCCTGTAATCCCAGCTACTCGGGAGGCTGAGGCAGGAGAATCTCTTTAACCTGGGAGGTGGAGGTTGCAGTGAGCTGAAAGTGTGCCACTGCACGCCAGCCTCAGAGATAGAGCAAGACTACCTCCAAAAAAAAAGAACAGGAATTATATTGCTTGAATTGCTGTTGACAGTTTTCAGTAGTGAGTAAAGGAAGAGTAAGCATTCTCCAGGCAGCTTTTTAGATAAGAAGAAAAAATTTATTTGCCTTTAAAAATTCTTGGCTTATAACACCATTAGTGCTTATAGAAAGTGATGGCTGTTATTGTAGTCTGAGACTTTTAAAAACAATTATTATGTTCAAGAAGCATTTGTAAAACATCCAGCCTCACAGAGCATTGCGTTAGGAAATGTAAGAAATAAATAGAAACATTTATTCCTGCTGTTTGGGTAGTCACTATTAAGCATCAATATGGTAGGTATGTCTGAGTCACCTCAGGCTACTATAACAAAACACCGCAGACTGGGTGGCTTAGAACACAGAAATTTATTTTCTCACAGTTAAGACGAGGCTCCGATCCACTAGGTTTCTAGTGAGGACTTTCTTCCTGGCTTGCAGATGGTGCCTTCTTAAGTCCTCACATAGCCTTCCTCTTGCAAGCCCACAGGGAGGAAGGGAGCAAGTGAATGAGCTCTCTGGTGTCTGTCTATCAGGACACTAATCCTGTTGTATCAGGTGCCCACCCTTATGACCTAATTTAACCTTAATTATTCTCTGAGAAGCCCCTTCAAATATAACCACAAAGGGTTAAGGCTGCAACATCAGAATTTGGGGAGGACACAAACATTTAGTCTGTAATCTGTGACACTGTTAGGCACGAAGTCACACATCCGAGGTTCAGATTGAGGATGGTAAGTAGTTGTCTCCAAAGGAGGCCTGACCGTTGTTGAAGACAGCCAAGAGCTGATGACTCTGATGCCAATCTGGGTGCTTCTATAAAGAAAAGATACTCATTAGACTGACCCACTACTCTTTATCTGTTCTAATTTCTCAGTGGTGACATGGTTTTCCCAATAGGGAAAAAGGGCAATATACTTGCTTTTCTTTCAGTTTGGATTTTAAGCCTGGGACCTTTTTAGGTCAAGATGTAGGTTTAGATTGTTTCAGCAATTTGTGTAACAGTATCTCAGAAAGGACTAGTGTCTTATATTCTTCTAACTCTTGGTTTTTCTACCTAACTGCCTTTACTGGTTTGGTGCTAATGGGAATACTGCCACTTAGGGAAAAATAAAACATGATCTTCTGTGAATCTTGGGGTGGCTTACTTGGTTTAGAATAATCTAGTATGTGTGTAGGTGGAGTTCTGTCCAGTCCTTTGGCTTTACTTCCAGGCCTAATGCCTTTTCTCATCATGTATTAAAGCTCTTTGACTTCTATATACATCATGTTAGCACCTTGTAAATCCTTTTAGTAATACCTTTCTATTATGAAGGTGTAAACACTGTTGTTTCTACCCCATTTACTTCTC